GATCAAATTATCTAATTTTGACCCATTTTTATGTGTATATCTGTTGAGGGTCTTATGTCAAAATTTGTTTATCAAGACACTCAAAATTAGTATCTTATACAATAGTGTAAATACAATTTATTAACCAAATCTTTCAAACTTTAAAATTATCAGCCATAACTTTCAAAATACAAAGTATTAGCCAAACGTTAACTCCCTATTAGCATTTTTGTTAGCAAAATTTAATAGTTATACCTTTCAAAAAAATTGTATTTTAATTAATAAAAGATTTAAAATATTATTAAAAATAACAGAAAAATTATTAATATTTTGATGCGATACAAAATATTTAATACAAAATATTTGGTTAAAATATTGAAAATTCTGAAAGGTATAGCTATTAAATTTTATTTACTAAATTTGTACCAATTGCTAATTCTTGAAATTTGTAGTAACCTTCAACCCATTGTTGTTGTCTACATGTTGGCTTGTAAAAATCTCAAACCAAGACACTCTCACACACTTTCAAGGGTTCTCGTCTTAACATGATCCTTTAGTGTATAACGTTCTAACTTTTTTAATGTGCATTTGCAAAATTTTCCTTATTTTTGGTGTTACTTCTAGAACAAAAATATGCATTATATATCTTAATAATTGATAAATCATGTCAACAACTACAATGCACATAGATATAGGTGCATTAAAAAGGTCGTATCATTTAAAGAATTAAATTTTTTTTTTTTTGACAAAGTTGATTTAAAAAAAAAACTCATACAAACATTGTGACATTTCACACGGATGAATTCTTGGATGTATTATAGACACATCTATTGTTAATATCTAAACGTATATAAAGAGTTTAATTTGTTTTGTAACCCTAATTAAGACCTTTGAACACACCTCGTTCAATGAAATACGCAACAAATTTTGTGGATATGATAACTCGATCTATATACATATTGCTTACGGTTACAAACTAACATTTTTGTTTTGACATTTTGATATGGTAAAAAAAAATTATTGCCAAAATTTGGTATGGAGTCACATACTCACAACCATGAAACCAAATGACTTATTAGAATTGCCTTGTTGATCTCATGCTTATAAAGATTCTTCATTTTTAACGTAATAGCTCGGTTTAGAGTCTTCTAACTATAAAGGCCTTTAATGTAGAAGACATTCAACTATTAAACGAAAATTGTCAACCATGTTTGATTAATGCTAGGTTAGTGGTTGATGAAACATAATGTTTATCGTACATCGTCAACAAAGATTTCTCCAACACTCACGTGCCATATAATACGTGTACATCATCAAGTTTCTATCCAGAACTTTTACTATATAATACTTATTTTATAGATATATTAATTAGAAATAAGAGAAGGGATGACAATGGGGCGGATTTGCCTAAACCATCACCATCCCCATTTTCAAATACCTAAACTCATACCCGCCCCATACCCATACGGTGGAAGGTTTTACAAACTCATCTCCATACCCGCGGTTTTCGGATACTCATGGCCATGGGTAATACCCGCCCCATCAGCTACTCACCATAAACAAAAATATGTAAAAAATATGGGTGCTACCTGCCCAAAATTATGGAACTGATACATAAGTGGATGAAATTACGGTTTGGTTGCCATCAATTACATAAGTGGATGTTATATTTTCTGCATATATCATAATATCCTCGGTGGGGCGGGTTTGGGTATGGGGATGGGGATTTCAAAAGCATATCCGCCCATCTCCATCAAAAAATTTGCGGGTTTTCCCCATACCCAATCAATGCGGAGATTCCCCGTATTGACTGGGTCGGAGACGGTTGGGTACCTGCGACCATGGGTTTAGTTGCCATCTCTAAATAACCAAAAATATAAAATAACATAGTTCATTTTTTAATGTAGATTGATTTTCTAACAGTTATTTTCTCTATTTCCATCGTTATATTTTGTTTAATCGATGAAAATATTATTATTTATGTATGTGTTTGTTTAAAATTGTCAATAATATATAACTTATTATTTACTTTCAGTAAAAAATAGTAGAAAATTTACTTGATCAAGTTTAATAATATATTTTTTGTTTAACTAAATGTGATATATCACTCTACAAACATTATTCTTTTTCTACAAACATAGATATAATATGAAAATTAAAAAGAATTATTGAATAAAAGAAAATATCATTAAAAGAAGAGAGAGATAACTCCATAAATAGCTCATTAACTAATTTTTTTGCTTGTACAAAAATTGTCCACCTTGGCAACTTGTGAATTCTCCAAGTGCTTATGTGGCAAGAAGTTGTTTTTGAACAACCATAATATATAGTAAGATAAGATAAGATAAGATGAGACTGAATTTCACCCCGATGTGTCCCCCCCCCCCCTCCACCCCACAAGTCTATGTTGAATTAACGGTGTGACACCTTATAATGATTCACACTTAGTATATACCGTGAGGGATTTCTAAGCTAGATAGGACTCCCTATTCTATATATATCTTATACCGCTCAATTACACTATCCGAAGAGGCGTACCTACAACCAACCTAGGTAATTGAGGCAACCACAACTGGGTAAAACCCTATGTCATAAAGGATCTAATCACACTCGTTCGTAGACCCCAAGTGTTGAATTGTCAATGCTCTAAATTATCCCTACGGAGATACCCTCTCACCTAGGTCAATTAGCCCCAAATTGAGGGAAGTGATTAAGAACCTTCAATTTCCATGAATAACTAAGGTTCTACGATACCCAAGTGAATTGAAGGACTACTCCATAGCTAGATAAAGAAAAACAACCAAAATGGAGAAGATAATCATTATGATTATAAGAACTTGCTCCTTGGCTGGTTATGGTGCTCTTGAATCTTGATAATGAAATCAAGCCTCCTATGGTGGTGGGAAGCTCCAATTCTCCTCCAAGCTCTCTATGTTTGTCACTCTCTCTAAAATGAAAAAATAACTCTGATTTCTCTATCCAAAACCAACTCTCCCTTCAAATCTTATTTCTCGTCCCTTTTATATCCAGCAGTGCAAAGTTCATGGTTTCCCATCACGACCGTGATCTTTGCATAAAAACTGTGATGTACACTTGATGTGCTCTGTTTAAATAACGAAGTTCATGGTATGGGTGAAATCTTCAAGGCCTAAGACTGTGAAGATTGCAACTGCCTGTGAGACCTCATATTCCTCCTGTGTCCTCTGCGAAGTTAACGCTTTGGCTGCAGATTTCACGCCCTATAAGTGATCTTAGATTGTTTTCACCATTTGGTCCTTTTTTGACTCCCTTTTGTCCGACTTTCGTTCCTTTCTCCAATTTCACCTGCTAGGACTTAGAACATACTCAAACTTTCAAAAACCTAGCGTAAAATGACTCCAAGGATAATGCAACACAAGTCAAACAGCAAAAAGAAAGGGATCGACACGAATCAGTAGTGTATATTCTAACCATACGTCTTGTTAACAAAAACATATATGGTGAAGTCTCCAGTTGATAATATCTTCACGACGTGTTGATCAACATTGAAGGAGGTAACAATTTCTAAAATTGTAAAACTTTGAGTAAAAGAGAGTATGTGCAAACTTTAAATTCAATAAGCAAACTTTCATTTGAATGGACCTTTTAGAAAATAACATAACTTTTATTCTCAAATCTCCTGCAATAACTCGGTTTATTGAACAAATTTATCTTGAATAACATTTTCCCTTTTCACTATTTTGAAAGAGAAAAAATTAACTTCTGGTTAAAGATTGGTTATTGTTCCCTTTTCACAAAGTGTCACGTGGGGCTGAGGATTGAGGTTTCTGGATAATAAATTTTTTTTAAATAAATCGTAAGTAATAAAAAAAAATTAAACCGTTAGAATAGAAGTGCATGTTCGACATGTGTATGTCGTCAACAAAATAAATATGGTTAAGCTTCTGTCTTACCATATCTTCTACACACTCTCATTAAAATGTTAGAATGATACATCATTGAATAATAATAAAACATAATTCAAATTGCAAACTTCAAATCATAAGGATACAAGACTTATTTATGAATTTATTTAACCATTCGAGTTATTGTGACAAACTAATTCTCATTACATCTCTCTTTTCTATTTTTAAAAACAATGAATTTTAAATATCTAGTAAAAAAATTCATGATTGTAACTAGGGGCGGAGGGAGAGTGTAATATGATCGGTCCCATGACCCACCATAGCTCGGGAGGAAAATGGTTAAATTAGGTATAATAATTAATTGATACTGAAATTAGAGCACGTCTAATTGATAATAGTTGATCGAATGGTTTTGTGTTTGAATCTTGGCGACCTCATTTGTTAAGCACGTAGTATTCAAATTTGTGCAAACTTCAATTATATATAAGTAGACTTTATTATAAAAGGGTGTGCTAGTAAATGGTATAAGATATATTACTGAAAATCACCCAACAACTCTAGTTATTGATACTACAATTCTTGACAAAGAACACAATTCGATAGCGAGCGAATAACTTAATCGTGAATAATTTTTTGGTATAAAGTTCATTATTAAACCTATTTCAACAACTCGAGTTTTAATACTAAACGAACCTTGTCAAAGAACACCATTCGAAAACTTTGGACTAACTAAATTATGAATAATTGTTTGGTACACTGAGAGTGATATTCTTGATAGTTTTGACACTACTAATGTATTTCAATTTATATAAAAAAATTAAATATAAAATTAGATTATGAATAATTAAAAAAAGTTAAGATAAATTATTTTATCATGTTTTTCTAAGTGGATCCACTCTAGATTATAACTTAAATTAACAGAACCGTTAAACTAGTGCATGTTCCGCAGGTGTAAGTCTACTTTGTACCATATCTTTCTACGCACCTTGATTACTATGGTAGTTGGAGGTTACAATTTGCTAAAGCCTAAAAGTCATTAATCTTTGAACATTGACGGTCATGGAAGGGAAGATTGGATTTGTTCTCTCTTTCTCGTGACTGTTATAAATGGAGAAGGGGAGTTTGCATGAAGTTATTGGGAAAGGAAAGGAGAGGCCCCCACAGAGTATTGAGTGCTCAGCTCCAAATACAGACAAAAGAGAGTTGCTTGCTGCAGTCATTGCTGTAACGTTCGAAGAGGCAACAGCCACAGCCACAGCCAGCTCAAAGGTGAAATGAAAATGAACAAGGAATAGCCATTATAGATTTGTATTCCCAGCATAAAGAAAGAAAAAAAAGACAATTCCCTTTTCCCTCTGCAAACGTCTTCTTCATTCTCTCCCTCTCCCTCTTTTATTTTGGCTGGTCCTTTTTAGAGAAATCTCTGGTTTCGTCCCGTCATCTCTCTCAGCCATTTCTAAACAAACAAACTGCTTTGGCTCATTGGTGCTTTGCTTTCGTCATTGTTTTTTTTTTTTTTTGCCCCTCCAGAAAGAAACAGAGAACAAGTGAAAGCTAAGAAAAGAATGCTGTCCGAGCTGAATGGGAGTCCCTGGATGGATGACAACACTAACAGGGAGCACCAGCAAAACACTTCAACAACATCACTCAACACTACAAACAACAGCAACTTAATTATTGAAAGCAGCAGCTGTGAATTGATGATGGAGACAAAAGAAGAAATGGGTTTCAAATCCATGCTTGAAGTAGCCGAAGAGGACTGGTACGTTGTGGGCAACAACAGCCACAACAACAACAACCACAGCAACGTCGTCAAGGAAATGAGTTTTTCCACAGATGGGTTATTGCTTCACCACCACCACCACCACAACCAAGTCGATTCCTCGTCGTCTTGCTCACCTTCCTCCTCGGTTTTCAACAACATGGACCCTTCTCAGGTACCCTACTTTATGCAACCCATCAACAAGCAGCAGCCACCCCACCACTCTTCCTTATCTTCCTTGCTAGCCAATGTAGTCTCCAACAACAACAACAACCCTTTAGACCATGGGTTCGATTTGGGGGAGATTGGGTTCCTCGACAATCAAGTTGCTACAGCAACTGGTAACTTTCTGAACAGGGGGAGTGGTGGGTTGTTGTTGGGGAATTGTGCTGATTTTGGCTCGATGAATAACCAGATGGGTGGTGCTGCTCACAATTTGCCCCAATTTGGGAGCAGTCCTCATCAAATGCTTCAATTGCCTGAAACAGGGTTTAGAGGGTTTGATGAGGGGAATGGGAAGACTGGGCTGATTTTGAATAGGCCTAAGCTGTTGAGGCCACTAGAGAGTTATCCTTCAGTGGGTGCTCAACCGACGTTGTTTCAGAAAAGGGCTGCCTTGAGAAAGAATTTGAGCGGTGGTGATGCAGGGAATCTGGGAATTTTGGGGGGTGTGACTGAGAGGGATAAAGGGAAGAAGGAAATGATTCAATCTAGTGATGAAGATAATAATGAGAAGAACAAGAGGATGATGTTGAGCTCAAATGGTGGTGATTCCTTTCTGGATGACTTGAGCATTGATGGATCAGTAGGGTTGAATTATGACTCAGATGAGTTCACTGAGAACAGCACTAAGTTGGATGAGATTTGCAAAGCGGGCGGTGGAGGGCTGAGCTCCAATGCTAACAGTGGTGTCACCGGTGGTGCTCCGGATCAGAAGGGGAAGAAGAAGGGGCTTCCTGCTAAGAATTTGATGGCCGAAAGAAGGCGCAGGAAGAAGCTCAATGACAGGCTTTACATGCTGAGGTCTGTCGTTCCAAAAATCAGCAAAGTAAGCAACTTTCCTTTCATTTCTTTTACCATCTTTTCTCATAATTTCCCAGTGGTTTCTATCAGTGCTTTACTTTATTTTTACTGCTAACTATGTTGTTCTTCTTGTTAAAAAGAAAATGAAAACATGATTGGGATAACATTGAGTCACAGAGTTCTGTATTGTTGGTGCTTGAGATTTTGGGTTGGTCTCTTGTGTCTGAAATGTATGTGGTACAGAAGAGAATGGCATTCATTCCTGTCACATGATTTTTGCCTTCACTCACCCCCAGACTGTTTTGGGCCAATCAAATTGAGGGATAATTATTGTTTGCTTTTAGTATTCAAAGGTGTTAGGGATATTCATGATTGATTCCTCCTTTCCATGGTTTTTAGAGCCTTGTAAACTTAAATGACTATGTGTTCCATTTCAATTGTCTGCCACTTATAGCGCTTCATGTTCCTCAACCACCCTTTTCCTTCTAGGAAAGAAAACCGTTTTGAGATTGGAGTACTGAATTCATTCTCTGTACTCTCCACCCATCTCTGTGTGCGTTTTTGTACCATTTGCAGCTTTTTCAGACAAAAGAGTACGTACTAACTAGAGCCTTCTTCCTCTCGTGCTTACTGCCAGCCATGGTGCTGCAACTTTCATGCATTTAATATCTACTGTCCTCTCCTGAACAGGGCATTCACTAACATAAGCTTTAATTTCTCATGTACCAAGAGAACTTTTTTTTTTATTATATTAAGCATAAGCATGACTTTAAATATGGATGGTTTGACTAGCTAACTGAGTCCCGATCTTGTGCTTAAGTTACAAAAGCTTTGGCTCTCCCTAGCCTGAGTTTCAATATGTTTAAGTCCGATTTACATGCTTCCTTTCTTCAAAGTTTTTTTTAAATGGTAGTTGTAGATTGTCAGTTGTGGGTGGAAGTTGGTAATTTTGTGGATCTGGTGGGACTTGAAGCTAAATTGATGGCAAATGTATGCGAACAGATGGACAGAGCTTCAATCCTTGGGGATGCAATTGAGTATCTGAAGGAGCTTCTGCAGAGGATCAGTGACCTTCACAATGAACTGGAATCAACTCCTCCAGGGTCTTCTTCCTTGACACCAACAGCCACAACTCCATTTCATCCACTGACTCCGACCCCGTCGGCCCTCTCAGGCCACATTAAAGACAAACTCTGCCCGAGTCCGAATGGTCAACCTGCAAGGGTCTGTAGTACATCTCGTGAGCTCTCCTTCTCCAGCGGCGAACATTGAATGACAATGTGTTCCTTTCTTTGGTGTTGTAGGTTGAAGTGAGAGTGAGAGAAGGGAGAGCTGTGAACATCCACATGTTTTGTGGGCGGAGGCCGGGACTTTTGCTGTCGACGATGAAGGCCATGGACAACCTTGGGCTGGACATCCAGCAAGCTGTCATTAGCTGCTTCAACGGCTTTGCCATGGACATCTTCCGGGCCGAGGTATATCTGCTAAAACTAAACAACCTCAACCGTCTTCTCAACAAAGCAGCACATATTTTGTGTTGACTTTGTGCGTTGATATGTTTGTTTTGCAGCAATGCAAAGAAGGTGAGGACGTGCATCCAGAGCAGATCAAAGCCGTTCTTCTCGATTCGGCTGGGTTTCATGGGATGATTTAACCTTTAAGCTGAGCTCGGAGTAGTCGGAGTGCAACCTTAAATTTGGTTCCAGTTATAACAAGAAAGCAAAAGAAGAATAGCCGTTAGTTTCCTGTTCCACCTGTTAGATGGGGTAGAATTAGGCAGTTGGGATTTCGAGAATCAGCGTAGTAGATGGGGTCAAAAGCGTCAAAATTTTATGGTTTTAGGAAGTATGAGATTCAGAGATTCGTTTCGAAAGTCTCTCGAGCGTTACTTAAGCTTTTGTTTTGAAAATTTCCCCTCTTCAATATAATCCTGACCGCAGAGTGGCAAACAAATGATAAAATCATGTCAAGTTACTCGGCAAACTCTTTTTTCTTTCATTTTTATGCTAAGTTAATCATGGGGTTAAAGACACATTTGGTCACTGAGATTACAAAATCGGGACATGTTTAGTCACTAGAAAAAGTTAATATCAAATTTGGTCACTACAATTACTAAAACTGGACGCATTTAGTCACTCGCCGTTAGTCTCCGTCCAACTCCGTTAATGAAGTCCGTTAAGTGCTGATGTGGCAAACAGAATTGCCTAATCAGCCGAATATAACCCAACAAAAATAAAACCCGACCCGCCACGTCATTAAAACCAACTCAACCCAACTCAACCCATGACCCAACCCTACCCAACCCTTCTTCCTCCCGCCTCCTTCTTTTCCCCAAAACCACCGCCCCGCCACTCTCCTCCTTCCTCCCACCTTTCTCCCAATTCACGATTCATTTCTTTTTTTGTAATGTTGTTTTTTTTTGTTCTTCTTCATCAGGATGAGATCCAAAGCCCAGCTGGTGCTGGCGCCACTCCACCGCCGGGGAACTTGTTGATATTCAACCAACACCAGCTGAATTCAACAGCTAACAATAACAATGACTACTTCGGCTTCAATACTTCAGCTCGAGGAGGCGGAGGAGGATTGCAGGTCTCGTCGGATGAGCTCGCAAGGCCGCCGCCGCCAATGGTTGTTAATAGACGTAAGAAATTGCAGCCGCTGAACCCTGGCTAGCCATAGAAAAGCTGCACGGAAATTGCACCCTCGACAGCAGTGGTTCCCGGTGGACGAGCGTGATGGGTTCAGCAGTGGTTCATCTCCGGAGCGTGATTGGGAGAAAGGTGGGAGGAAGGCGGAGAGCGGCGGCGGCGGTGATTTTGGGGAAAGAAGGAGGTGGGAGGAAGGAGGAAGAAGGGTTGGGTAGGGTTGGGTTGGGTTGGTTTTAATGACGTGGCGGGTTATAATGACGTGGCGGGTCGGGTTTTATTTTTGTTGGGTTATATCCGGCTGATTAGGCAATTCTGTTTGCCACATCAGCACTTAACGGACTTCATTAACGGAGTTGGACGGAGACTAACGGCGAGTGACTAAATGTGTCCAGTTTTAGTAATTGTAGTGACCAAATTTGATATTAACTTTTTCTAGTGACTAAACATGTCCCGATTTTGTAATCTCAGTGACCAAATGTGTCTTTAACCCGTTAATCATGTTGGGATTTTTAGTGGTGTGAATGGAAATAAAAGGGGAAAGTTTCAAGAGAGTCTCTTGAAGTACCATGTTGGTAAGATGTAGAAAGGCATGGCCTCGAATTCGATCGATTTGATGTAATATGTGGTTAATTGGTTAAATTGGTTTGTGTAACCAAATGAACCAAACCGAGTTGAACCAATTCGAACCGAACCGATATGGCGGTTGGAATAACCAAACCGGTCCAACTTCCATGAGGCCGAACCAATGCAATGGTTGAAATATTTTAAACGAACCAATGCAATGGTTGGGGTGTAACCACCCATATGAAGAGTTGCCTCCCTTCAATGCATCCCTTCATTTTCTATAAATAGCACCATACCCTCTCTTGTTTTAACTACGAGTTTTACATAGATTTTCCGGTATGAAAATTCTGCCAAAATCCAAAACTAGTTTTCTGCATTCTTTTCAAAGAGAAAATAGAGTCAAGTGTGGTTCTCGCCGATTCGCTGCGTTCGATGGTTTCCGGGGTTTGAGGTACCGCTACGCCGGAAAAGGTACGTCTTTTCTATCTTGGGAGGAATCATTCCATAACCTTGGGTACTTGAGGGGAATAAGATTCTTTAAGGAGAGATAGTGAATTCTATTGGCTAGGACGCTTGCATGTGTCTTTGCATGTTTTCTTAATCTTATGTGTTTGCTTGTGTTGCAAGAAAAATAGTATACGTGAACAATTTCCCAACAAATCATCAAGCTCGGAAGCTGAAATTCCAGCGATGGAATGGCAACAAGTAGACAAGGTAAAGACGCCCCACCCAAGTAGGGCGGCAAATGAGCTATGGATGAGGAATTGTAACGGATCAATTTGACACAATTGTCTCGTTTTGAGACAATTGTACCAAATTGCCTCGTTTGCCAGCAAAAAATTTGGATGGATCAATCTGCCTGAGGTATTTTGAATTGATCCGTTTTGAGTCAATTTCAATTACCTGGGGTGGGGGAAGGTAATTCGAATTGACTCGTTTTAATTGCCTCGTTTATAAAACGAGACAATTGATCAAATCGACTCATTTCTAAATTGATCCATCCAAACGACCCCTAAGTTTTGGGGCGGCAAATGAGCTAAATCGAGTTTTATTTCAGTTTGAGTTCGGTTCGTTAATAAACGAGTTGAGTTTGAACTTGACTTATTAATAAACGAGCCGAGTCGAGTCAAGTTCGAGCCAACTTGCTTAATAAAATCTTGACTTGTATTTAATATATTCATTTTTTATGTCATACATGATACATGTGATTAATGTCAAGATTAAAGTAATAATAATAAAAAGTTAAGTATTCAATATTAACTAATCTCATTTTATACTTTATGGTATCACACTATTTAGTTAATAAATTTTAACTACTGAAATTATGTTATTTCATAGTATCGAAACAATCTATGCTATATAATTTATTTTTAAAATTACATAGATATATTTTCTCACACAATCTACGTGTTAAACTTCATATAGGGTGAGATATATAATTTAATAATCCTATGAATTACCAAAATCAAACTCATATAGATCGATTCGCTCATAACTCCGTAATTGAGTTGGCTCTCTAGCCACAATGTTGAGAGTTGAGACATTTCATGAGCTCTAAACGAGCCACCTCAACGAGTTGAGCTCAACAAGCCACCGAGTCGAGCTAGCACGCAAGCTCCCCGAGCTACAGAAGGCTAAGCTCAAGCTCAGCTTATTAGTAAACGAGTCGAGTTTCGAAAGAGCTTTTCCCTTGTCTAATGTCGAGCAGCTTGGCTCATTTGCAGCCCTACCTACAAGGTACGACGCCCCACACCGCTACTTAACTGTCACAGACACAAGTAACTGATGCAAAATTTCCCATGTTATCCTATCGGAGCAATTTATAAAAATAATCACTAAAATAAAACTGTATACATATCTAGCCACTTACATGTATTTTTTAGTGTAAACACCAACATTTCAGCGACATAGCCAAAATTATGACTCAATCGACCACTTTTGAACTACTCGTTACTCAAATGCTAAGTCTAATATGACTGATCTTACCCATCTACGTGATGAGGTTCAAGCCTTGGTCGAAAGAATTGATAAAATTTCCCCAGCAATGTCTGAATCTGACAGACAAAGGGAAGGAGATGAAGTTAAAACCATCCTAATCAACGACGAAATGCAATAAAAAAAATGAAAGCAAATTAAAACAGAAGGTTTTAGAATCGGCTAAATTACACGTTTGGTCACTCAAATTATATAAATCTTTCACCTTTGCCACCCAAATTACTTTTCTTTCTTATTCGCCACTAACTTTACGAATCATTTCATTGTTAGTCACCGACCGTTAGTCTCCGTTAAATTCCGTTAACTCCGTCAAATTTTTGATGATGTGGCAAACAGAAGTGCTGACTGTACCATCAACTAATGACATGTCAATTTTAAAAATTAAAAATCAAAAATTAAAAAAATGATCCTTTCATTCTCCACTGCCGGCGTCGACCACACTCCAAATAACATGTTCCTCTTGGGCCCGTCCCCATCGCTCCGACGCCGCCGAGGGCTTCCCCTGTTTCGAAGTTATCAGCGGATCTCGCCGCTAGACTGTACCGAGAAGTTATATCTCTCTCATTCAATCTGTTTCGAAGACCTCAAAGAGGCATAAGTTCAAAGTAGTGAAAGGAGCTTTAGTCAATGAATAGCGCTTGCTCTCTTCCATATCAAATCTCCCAAAGATATTTCATTAACAAAATTGGGCAGATTCATGATTTTTTGATTTTTTGTGGTGAAATAAGAAAGTGTTTTTAGGTTTGGTCGTGGAGTAGAGAGAAGAACCGTTTGTTGGAGACTGGGCTTGAGGGAAGAGAAGCAGGGGTAGTCGGAAAAGTTTTCACTCTCCTGCTTGTGGGAAGAAAACCAGTGGTGCCAGATCTGTTGCTGTCGACGAGAGGAAGAAGATGGCTGATCCGGATCAATTTCTAGAAAATCATAGCACATAGTGATTTCCACGCTCTTTCTGGGCGATTCTCCACGAACAGATCTGCACGGAGAAGCACAGTCATCAAATGGAAGAGGGACCAGGGCTTGAAACTGGTTGCGGATGGGTTCTGGGCTTGAAACCCAAAAATGCAGAGGATGTAGCTTCGAGATGAATCGTAGAAATATAACCCACTCCAGCAACGATGGAGAGCGGCGGCGGCGACCGGAAGCACAAAGCCAAGCAGTAAGCACGAAAAGTTTTAACTTGGGTACTGGTGGCGAAATCGGAGCTAGGCATTTGGGGGTTTTGATTTTACTTGGATGGAATCTCGGGATTTCAGGTGACGAAGAGGCTGGATCCTGGCGAGGAGGAATGGAAGGACTGGAATGGTGATCGGAAGGGGATGGAATGGTAAGTGGAGCTTTCTTCGTGTCGTCGGCCGGCTAAGAGATGAGCTGTAAATTATTTTTTAAATTTTAATTTTTTTAAATTGACATATTATTAACTTAACGGTCTAGTCAGCAATTCTGTTTGCCACGTCATCAAAAAATTGACGGAGTTAACGGAGTGTGACGGAGACTGACGGTTGGTGACTAACGGTGAAATTATTTGTAAAGTTAGTGGGGAATAAGAAAAAAAAGTAATTTGGGTGGTAAACGTGAAAAATTTATGTAATTTGAGTGACCAAAGGTGTAATTTAGCCTTTTAGAATCATATGTTTTTAAACTTCGACAAGAAAAAAATGGTCCAATACATACGAAATTTTTTGGGCATTTCCTACCAAACCTGTAAAGTCACCATGGTAGGAAATGCCCAAATTTTTTGGAATATACTAGCATCTTATACCGTAATAAATGATGAAATCACTAAAGAAGTTTTACCTGAAGACATTTTGGCAATAGTTGTTGATGGCTTGAAAAGAGAATTTTGCGGATTTAAGCTATCGACTAAAACTTTAAA